CTTGGACTTACTGATGGTAGACAATCAAATGGATTGCTGCTGCCTTAAAAGAACTTTTTAAAAATTAATATCTGGTCCATACTTCCTAATATTAAACTTCCCAAACCAAAATTAATTATATGCCAACAAGTGTAATTTCTACAGGAAACTTCTTAAAACCAAAGGCATGATTATCTCCTATCATTCATTAATTATAATGATCTCTTTCCTTGCTTTTACTGTCAAAAGATCTGTTTCACTGTCCCCTCTGAGGTGGCAGTTTTCATAGACTCCCTGACATTCTCCTGCTGAATCCCTTTAATAAAAACTTCTGTGTGGTAACCAGCTGGGAACATGAGTGCAAGCTGTTGGCCATAAAAAGAACAAATCTCGTTTTCCCTACAGCTCCAGGATCAAATCAAACATTTTTAGGAAATTTAACAAATTTTCTTAAGGTAAACACAATTGCTTTACTGACTATTTATCCTCAATGGAATGAAAACCTGTCCTTCACCTTGGTCTAAGAACACAGCATAGAGTTTTCAAAGGACAAAGAGCTCAGTTATGAGAAAAAAAATAGCATCCTTTAATACATTTTTAAAATTTTCTATCTGATTTGTTACAGAAGAATATTTGATGAGTAGTTTGGCTAAATCAGGAAATACTAGAAGTGAACAATGAGGCTTCAAGATCCGTACACATTTTGCTGGCTACCTACCTAAGGCAAAGCAGCATTAGGGAAAAGTGACAAAGAGGAGTAAATGAAAACAGCACACATTTGTCAAATCTACCGCGGCAATGAATTCAGGGTGAAATCTGTTTAATAAAAACCCGAACATATTATATAAAAATAAATAAATTCTTGATTTATATATGAAACTGAAGTTTTTATATGGTATAAGTCTTTTTTTAAAAATCAAATGTGTTTTGGATGAATAAAACATTTATGCCTGCCTTTTACTAACAGAAAATATTCCCTGTCTCATCTGAAATCTTACCTAGCAGGACACGTGCTTTAAAGAAATAAGGCAAAATATTCCTTCCATCTCTTCCTTATGGCCTCATCTCTTCCAGATTCATAATGTAGTGAAGTTCCTATTTGCTTTAAGACTGTGGCCCTGATTCTCAGCAACCGGAACTATTCACTTTTTAAATATAACTGTTGAGGAAGCATTCATTGCAAAGACAACTGTAGTATAAGAAGTTACCAGTGACAGTAAAAGCACAGCATCAAAATAATTAGGACTACCCTTGTTAGAAGAACAAGGTGGCTGCCATCCATTGAAAGTGTATTTGCACGTTTAGGCATCAGCTTTAATGTTTTGGTTGTTGCTGTGATTGTTACCCACCTCCCATCCCCATGGACAGGCAACTTAATAGATGTTTTCCCCACTCGGTAGTTTCTCCTGAATGAATGAATCAAAGAATGAGTACTTAAAATGGTAATTTTCTAACATTTCACTGAAATGAATATCAGAATGTTTAATTAACATATTCAAGCACTGAGTTTTAATTAAGAAGACATATAGCTCCAAAACATTTATGAATAAATTGAAGCAACAATGCCTAAAGAACAAAAATGAGAGTCATTTGAAAACACCATCACCTAAGGCGCAACAACGTGAAGGAGTCTCATGCTATAGACCATGAGAACGTATAAAATATCATTAATGAGGGACACTGGCAGATAGTACATATATCACGAGAGTAAAATCATGGAGAGAATTTTTGTTAGTGCAAAAAAAGGACATAGTTTGTGTAAAAATCATTATTTAGAGCTGCTATTTTACTGGCAAATTACAAGGATTTTCTCTGTTGGATTATGTCTGCGTGTAATGAACAGTGGAGAGAAGAGAGAGAAATGAGGGGATTCTAAATGAGTAAAAGAAAATTAAGCTTTCCCCTGTCTTATTAAAGAAAAAAAAATTGGACCCATGAACAGACATTAAAATTCTGTCCTAGGTGCTAGTTTACTAGCTAGAATGATGGAATTTGTGTTCTTCCTGGCCATTTCAGGATTTAAATAATTTTATGTGACAGAGCTGATATGTTGATTAATAAAAAGACGGCAATCGTTTACATTGGGAGTTTAGTGCAATTTTAAGAATCTGCATTAAGTAAGCTGAGTGTCTGTAATGGAATGAATGCAGAACCACCTTACTTAGTGAAGTGCATAAATGAAGTGGGGCTGAATTTTTAACATCAATGATTATGGATTAAAGAAAAATCAAATCAATTGAAAGAACTAGCTTTGGAAATCACACAATGTCAGTATTTTTGAGCATATAATATTGTGCAAAATCCAGGAAAGCAAACAGATGTTTACTTCTATTTCCCTCCTTCTAGTATTTATCTTATCATTTGGGAAAAGGCTTCTTGTATTGCAGTTTGATTACATGTGCATTTTGCAAATTTCCAGATGTGTTCAAATGTTTTAATCTACATTATGGCTTTATATTTTAGGTCCCCACGATTCCCTAATCAGAGTTCTCATTTCTCTAAACACTAAATGAAATTGAAAATTTTCATATACCTCATTTAGTTTGAGAATATTATGGACATTTTTTCCAAACTAGTCTTTCTAGATATATTGGTCTAGCATCTACTCAATAGATAATCAGTCCCATTATGTTGTACTGTAACACCAAATCCCTTGAAAAGAACATTCACTTTTCTGCAAAAAAAAATACAAAAAACCAAAAACAAACCAAAAAAGCCAAAAAACCCCCCAAAAAACAAACAAACAAACAAAAAAACCGCCCAACCCAACGACAACAAAAAACACAACTTTTTGACTGGGGGGGAGTCAAGATAATTTCCATTCTCAAATTTGTGCCAATAAAATTTACCCATTTAAGGTAAGTATCCTTCCAATTAAGGTGATATCTATAGTGGGTTTGCCTGTAACGCTTACTGGATAGTGTCTGTAAGAACTGATCTCGATTCCAGCACAGATTTAGATGATGAACACTGAAATGTTAGCAGAGTTAGAGACTGGCCTTTAAGAAATGATGTGAAACGTTGTGAAGCCGTGTATTTTGGACACTCTGACAAGCATTTGAATGTGTATTTTTATAATATAAGAATAAAAAGCCTGAGGATATCTACAATTAACTAACTGGTAAGGCTCCAGTCTCCAAAAACAACCAGAAAGGTATAAAAGAAAACAACAAGACAATGCCTTTGAAAGGCATGTTTAGAAAATATGAATACTAGTTTGGAATGCAAGAGGCACTTCAAAAAAGTAAGGAAAGGAGAACTGGGGAGGGGGCTGATATAGATGGCCCAAAGCAATATTATTTGAAAACTCAGACTTGAAAAGATCTATACAGAGAGGTGGACAAAAATCCGACTGGAAGTGTTTGAAGGAAAAAGGCAGTAAGAACAGAAAATGAAAAAGGAGTTTATGTGAGAATAAAGTAGAATTGGGAATAACTGGCTGTTTTGGAGAAATGGTTAGGATTTCAGATCCCTTCCATTTGGAGGCCTTGAAGGTGAGTGGCCTGTATGTTTTCATTTTATTGTGATGCTCTGGTAGGAGAACACGGACCCCTGTCCTAACAGCCCGCATTGCTGAGTCTAGGCGACTCTTAAATTGGTCACAAGAAAATGATGCTCCCAAGGACATGGTCAGAGCATCAATTTTCATTTAATAATACTTCAACTTTCTGAAGTGAAAAAAGTCTGTGACCGTCTAATGAGTGTGTGTCTTGGGTCATTCGGATTAGGGCAACCCCTCGGTACTGCACACAAGTCAACACAAAGGGCCTAGGTAGTGTCAATGGCTACATTTTTCTAGCAGTAATAATATCTTAAATTTGGAATAGAGCTTTGACATATTTCATAGTGTTCTCACAGACTGCACTTATGAATGGCGGTCCTAAATCCCTGACAGGAAAATCCCTTACTACTGTGTGAAGTCAACAGAGTGAACTAGAAATTGTGTCATAAAATTTTCTAGATTTTTCAAATAAAAATTTCTGCGATCCCACCCTAATCGGACTTTACTATCAACAAATGCTGTTCTGTTTTTACTGCTAACTCTGTGAAATGAAACTTGTACGTATTTTATCATGTCAAAAGAAGTTTAACTGATTGCCCTATGACACTGTAGTGAAAACATGATCAAACAGAGCCAGGTTTCAAAAGGTTAATGGAGTAAAATGCTACACAGGGAGTATGGAAACAAGCCCTATATAGCCTTAAATGGGAATATAAATGTTTCCTCGGGGTATGCTATTCAGAATAATAGGTTGTTTTGAAGGGAATCTATTCTGATAGTACAGAATATCTAAATCCTTCTGAAACAAGTAGCAATTTCATTTATATAGATTAATGAGCTTATGACAAGTTCATACTCAAGAGTTATTCAGGCATTCCTCTGCTCCTTCCCAGGAAGAATAAATTTATTTTATTCATTCACCGTAAAAGTTACACTTTGTAATTTCTTAGCTATATAAATCATCATGGGATGAGAAATGGGGCCTACATGTTGGTAATAAACTTAAATATGTTTGAATAAAGACTTCACAATGCTCTTTCCAATCATTGGTTTCTTTTAAAAAAATAAATATACCACCACATATTCAATGGAGAAATTAGCCAATTTCCCAAAAGTTAACTGACTTAAAGCCCCAGGTAAACAAACAAGCAAAAAACCAAAGATCCATTTAAAGAACAGAGCTCAGGATCAAAATGTCATCGGCCCTTGGGTAACTAAATTGCAGCAAGCAATTACTTTTTAGAAGTAAAGCCACCTCTCAAAAGACTAAGGCTTTTGTTCCATATCTTCAAAGAACAACCCACTTGCATCAGCATCAAACTCTGTTCACGATACTTGCTCACCCAACATCAAAGCACATCCCCTTTCCTGAGTCATTTAATTAGAGCTAATAAAGATATGGGTTTACATGCTGCCTGATGTTTGCAGCAAATCCCTAGAAAACACAGTCAAGAAACTCATCAATTTGATGTTAGTGTCTATCTCCCTGGAGCCAGCCCACCCCTCCTCTGCTCAGTACCTGACAGGCGCGCCTCGGCTGTGTGCCGGTTTCAGCATGACTGTCACTGTATTGTCCGTTTGATTCAAAGGGGTCTCGAGTTCATAAGTCGGCATAGAGGGTGCTGGGGGAAAAATGTGTGAGATGGGAGACTCATTATTTCTGGTCGATCTTTTCAGTTTTCCTCCTAGTTCCATTTGCAAAGAACATTAAGAACACAGTGCACTTAAACTGCAGCTATGAACCGACCATGGGCAGCCTCTGTGTATATACCCTACACAGAATATCAGGAACCACTGCTAAAACCAGGAGATGTCGACTTCTTTGATCTTGAGTTTAAGCTGGGAGAGAGTATGGGGGGGCTTGTGAGGTGTTAGTAATATTCTGTCTCTCGATTTCCATTCTTGCTAAATGGGTGTAGGTTAGCTTGAGAACATACATCAAGCTGGGCACTTATAATTTGTGTACTTACTGGTAGGTATGCTTTTCTTTAAAAATAACTTTAAATGCATATTTAAGAAATAATCACTAGGATCATAAAACTGAATATTATAGCTCTCCCATCGAAGTCAAAATGGAAGACTCTGTGTACGCCACAGATCCATCTAGGGATCTGAAGAAGACTGTAGAAGCCAGAGAGGCTTGTTGAAATTAGTGACCATTAGTGGGCTCTCAGGGAGAGCAGGAAGGTGGAAAAGATACGGGAATTGGAGTAAGAAAGGCTTGGGTTGACTTTCTGTTTTGTTTTAAACAGCCTAAGAGCTTAGGCACATAAATTATCTCTGGAGCTTCAGTTTACCCTTCTTTCAAAATAGGAGAAATTACCCTCTAGGGTTATTGTGGGAATTCAAAGAGATAATAAAGAGAGCCAGCCAAATATAATTCTACCAATGTTAGTTCTTTTCCCCCACTTCATGTGAATCCTATTTCCAGGTCCATTTCCTGGCATTCTTTGTTTTCTAGATTGTTCATTCTTACGAGAAGATAATGACAGAGTTCTTCAATAATTTTGTCATCACCATAGACTAGATAGATCATTTCATGAAGCTGTGATGCAGGAGGGCACATGGTATAGGTACCTGATGAGAACACTAGTGATCATTTTTTTTACAAATATAGTTTTTTAAATCTCTTACATATAAAAAGCTTTTCTGTAAAAGACATGGGTTATATCTCATTTCCATTTATTGGATTTTCTCAGCATTAAAAATTAACTCCAATTCTATTAAAAATTAACTCTGATTCATAACACAGATTTATTATTTTGTATAGAAAATAGTTATCTGAGGTCCATGAAAGTAGAAAATTGGGGCCCATAAACTGTAATTTTCTTTGAACTATAAAAATCAAATAGTTACTCTTGATGAGTCTGTGCAGGCTAACTAAAATGTCAACTGTCTTTGTTTTTGGATAAAACTGTATGAACTTGGTGGGCTAACAGTGGTCAGACTCATATCAACCAGAATTTTTATATAACAGAAATGGTAAAAATGAATTGGTTTTTTCCTCTAAAAGAACATCCTCTTTAAGATAATACTCATTGAAATATGGTTTCCATAGGGGAAAATTACCAAAATAATGGAGGCTTGGAAATACACATACTGGCACACATTTCCTCTTCAGTCTCCATTGTAAGTTCAAGCACCAGATTATATCATCTTAATTACATCCAGGTATCAATGCACTTGATCAAGATCAGAGAGGGCATGTATGGAAAATTACAACTAGAAGTCAGATTTTCTGATTCCAAGTCTACTAGTCTCTAGAAATGTATGACCTATGCCATTTTCCTAACCTCCCAAGGACATCTTCCTCTTCTTCCAACTCTCCATACTGTTATTACCTAACGCTTCTTATGAAATATCAAGTGTATATTGAACTTGAACTTGAATATCAAATATCAAGTGTATATTGAACTTGAACTTGAACAAAGCTGAGTTTGTGCTCATAAGTAAAATCTTACACGATGAAAAATTTCCTCTTAAGTTATAATTGCTTAAAAACAAAATTCCAAACCTTCCTCCCTCAAAACCTAATTGAGTGCTTATAGTATTTTTTTTTTTTAGATTTTTATTTATTTATTTGAGAGACAGAGCACACAAGCAGGGGGAGGAGCAGAGGGAGAAGCAGACTCCCTGCTGAGCAGGAAGCCCAACGTGGGACTTGATCCCAGGACCCCAGGATCATGACCTGAGCTGAAGGCAGATGCTTAACCCACTGAGCCACCCACACACCCCTATAGTACTCTTGTTGTAAGTACTTCCCTGCCTCTGATTCTAAGCAAAAACTTTCCAAAAACTAGAAATGAGGGACAAAAGATAAAATAAGGCTAAATATTATTTAGCTAACACTGACTGATTGAAAGAGTTATTTCCCTCACCAGCCTCCTGCTCATCTCCCCCCAACCAAAACAGGCAAAGCCAAAACTCAAATACTTCACCACTCATACCCAAAGGGGGAAAAAGGAAATGTCCATGGAATTGTGTTTATTGCTATTATATATCCAGCAGATGGCAACTCCATTTCCTCTAGTCTGAAGCACAAAGACATTTTCTGCACAGTTGCAATGCCCAGAAATACTTCTCAGATTATGTCTTTGGTCGGATGGCATAATTGAGTCTCTACCAGGAAGAAGCTGGAGGCTGTAAGTGCCTGGTACCACCCCTCTGTCATCGCAGAGGACATGCAACTACTAACGGTGAAGGTCCCAAGGAAGGTGATCCTTCTGGAAGCAGACTCCATATAACGCTGTCTTTCTGCTGAGCACTCAGTCATTCACGGCTCATTGCAGATATCTCTCCAATGTTGCTGCTCTGGTAACCTGTACTGTGAAGGGGGTAGGAGCACACAGACCAGAACTCTCACTCATGCTCAGGTCCTCCAGTGCAAACTGATACAACATGGCTACTTCCTAATGCAGGAGGATCTTAAGCTCCCAAATTATAAGTATTTGCAGTATCTCATTCAATTCCATGAGTCTGATTTTCATACACGCCAAAGTGTTAATCTGAACACAATGGGTCAGTCGGGGTGAGGTTTGTATCCTTGACAATGGGGATGAAAAATACAAAAACGGTACCTCTGATAAAAGACATAACTCACAAAGGTATAATACCTGATATTCTGGTGGTGAACTGATTTGTTGCTGGAGGTCCAAACCCCTTAGCTGTGCTAGCTCGGATGGTGAAGGAGTAAGTGGTCCCCGGATACAGTCCAAAGAACAGAAAATGGGTTTCATTCCCCAGTTTTGAAACTCTTCCACTTTGATTGGATAAGTCTATTTCGGGGTCAAAGGAACTGACTGCTTTGTAGGTGATCTGCAAGAGAGTAAGAATTCGATAAAATACCTGAAGCAGGTGGACCGGGATCACATCTTTATCCAATAAACCCCTGTGATGTATGCACTGTCAGATGCTTTATGATAAGCTCCTCTACCCACTTAGACTCTTCAAATCCTGGATCCGGTGAAGGGGTGCAGGAACTCAGCCAAAACTGCTATGAGTTATTACTTTTATAGACAGAGGAACTGAAAGCCAGTAGATTAGAACATAAAGGATGAGTTCAGGTTTAAGCTAATACCTTGAAGTTGTTTGCTTTCAAAATATCACTTTGGAAAACTACATTACAGTTGGCTTAAAACAACATCACAAAATATACAACTAGCTCAAACAGATAAGGACCATACAAGGGTAAGGACTCATCTCTCATCCAGGGGCCAGTTTGATTCTGCACTGAATAGGATTATTGTCTTCTGGAAACAAGGGCACTTTTAAATGTTTTCACCAATGTGGGCAAAGATATCTGCTCTCAACAATAAATCCTAGACACGTGTCCGGAGCTCTTGATGGTATGACCATGGTGCTCATGATGGGTCATTATTACTTCTTTTCTTCAGAGCAACGCTGTCCGATAGAACTTTCTGTCATGATGGAAATGTTCTATTCTGCACTCTTATGGTAGCCACCAGCCAAAACTGGTGACAGAGCACTTGAAATGTGGCTAGTGAGACTGAGGACCTGAGCATTTTATTTAATTTTCATTAACTAAAATTTAAATGTAAATCACCGTGCATGACTAGGAGCTGCCATTTCAGGGGATGCCACTCTAGAAGGCTCTCATATGGTGCCACATAACAGGTGTTTAAAGCACATTGGACGCATCTGGAATGTGTGAAAATAAATATATCATAGGTGTCTTGAAATTTGCCCTTTCAAATGACTTTTTTAAAGAATTTCACCATAAGTATTTCATCAACTACTCACGAACACACATTTTAGTGGTGATTACTAACTTCTACTGGTTGTAATGACATGATTTTTAAGTGTGGCATATTCAAAAGTTTTAAATTGCAAAACTGAGCACTTTTCTTGCTTTTAAATAGGTAAACTTACTTATAATTTATGTGCATGAACACTAACACTGTTATTATACGAAGTGATAATTGACATTCTTTCTTCTTATATTTATACCATGTCATTATAATTAGGGAGACCTCTCTGAAAGAATATTTAGATTGAGTCATCTAAGTTTGGCAAGAAAATGTTTGCTGTATATATTAATTACTACAGTGCATGCCACTCTCAGAGTTAGGCAGCATATCTGTTGTTAATCCTCTAGCCGATTTCCCTCACAAGGTTTCTCTGAGTGCATGTTTCCCCCTGCTTGTGTTCCTTCTCTTGCTGTGTCTCTCTCCACCAGTGGTGGAGGAGGAGATCAACAAACGAGCCAGAAAAGCCAACAGAGAGAGCTGTCATGGAAATCAAAAGAAAGAAAAGGAAAAAAGTGACTGAAGAAGGAAATGCTTTCAAAGATGCCAGGAGTTCAGGTGAGATTGGAACAAAACGTGTCTGTCCACCCATGTCTGAAGCCAGAGTTCCCATTTTACTTCTCTGTAAAGCTTCCAAAATGTGGCCCAACGATCACTGGCTCAGCTGGATGCCCAATGTTGTGACTGAGTTCATACAGTTCATTTGGCGATACATCATGGAGCGCTGTGAAAGCTCTCGCATAGTCTTTTTTTTTTTTTTTTAAGATTTTACTTATTTATTTGACAGAGAGAGACACAGCAAGAGAAGGAACACAAGCAGGGGGAGTGGGAGAGGGAGAAGCAGGCTCCCCGATGAGCAGGGAGCCCAATGTGGGGTCCGATGCAGGACTCGATCCCAGGACCCTGGGATCATGACCGCCGAAGGCAGACGCTTAACTGACTGAGCCACCCAGGCACCCCTCTCTCGTAGTCTTAAATCATGGTTTCAATATGCCAAAGGAAGTGGAACTTTTCACATAATTTTATCTTCTTTCTGAGGAGTGACTGATGTCTTACTCTTCTTTCTGATCCCACAGTGATCAGTACATATTTGGCACTCAGTATATATTTTCCCCAAAAGACTCCCAGGAAGAAGAGGTGTGCACATGTGCTTACACAAATGCTCACACTACGTACGGCAAGTAGGATGTTGCTGCACCCGCACTGACTATACAGCAGAAAGCAAATGCTTGAGCAAAGGACCTGTTGCTCCCCGGGGGCCGATGGGTTGGTATTCTTCTATTGCCATGGTCATGCAGGATAAGCTAGACGGGGGCCCTGTCATGGGTCTTTCAGTCACAGCCCTCTGAGAATTTGCTAATCAACAGATCCTCTCTCCCAGACCCATAAAAATGCACATACACACTAATGCATGCACTCTTAAAAATTATGGACCCTTTTCCTCACTATTTTTTTTAAGATTTTATTTATTTACTTGAGATAGAGCAAGATCGAGAGAGAGAGAGCACAGAGGCAGAGGGAGAAGCAGGCTCCCCACTGAGCAGGGAGCCCGATGCGGGGCTCGATCCCAGGACCCTGGGATCATGACCTGAGCTGAAGGCAGATGCTTAACCGACTGAGCCACCCAGGCGCCCCTTCCTCACTATTTTTTAAAGAATTTATTTGAGAGAGAGAGTGTGAGAGTGTGTGTATGTGTGTGTGGGGGGAGGGACAGAGGGAGAGAGAGAGAAAATCTCAAGCAGACTCCACGCTGAGCACGAAGCCGGATGTGGAGCTCAATCTACAACCCCGAGATCATGACCTTAGTCAAACCAAGAGCTGGACACTCAAGAGACTGAGCTGCCCAAGCGGGCCCCTCTCCCTCACTTCTAACAAATCCCTAACAAGCAAGTTTGTTGTATAGATGCAGACACAAAATGTCAGAAAAGTCACTGATCCCTGTCAAAGCCAGCCCTGGGAGTTTGAATACCAGGAATAAAAAACCCAGCTCCTCAGGAATAGGAGCAATCCACTCTAGAATCCACTGCCCTTTGGAGAGTGGATGCTCCATCTATATGTATCTGAGCACTTGTTCTAAAGGACACTGAAAAGCACCTCTATGCTCACACCCAAATGTACCATGTCGTTTTGGCATTTATTTTTTCATTTGTTCATTCAATGCATGTTTATTAAGAGCCTATTAAGTGCCAGGCTGTAGTAAAGCAGCAGGAAACTCCCAGAAGGAAAGTTTGGGACTGCTTCCGCGCTTGCAGTGTGTCTCTGGCTGAGGGCCAAGGCAATTCTGATGCAGCCTTGATGCAGTGAAAAACACTGACGGGGCGCTGGGGTGGCTCAGTCCTTAAGCGTCTGCCTTCGGCTCAGGTCATGATCCCAGAGTCCTGGGATCGAGTCCCACATTGGGCTCCCTGCTTAATGGGGAGTCTACTTCTCCCTCTCCCTCTGCCCCTTCTCACCTCCCACTTGTTCTCTCTTTCTCTCTCTCTCAAATAAATAAATAAAATCTTAAAAATAAAAAGAACACTGACGTTCCACGTTGGAGTTTGCAGTTTTATGGGATGTCGCAAGTCCAAAGCGAACTGACATGCGAACGACATAAGTGGGGGCCACATTTAGGTAAGATGGGGTCAATATTGGATGATTTCTGATTCATACGTAGGTGCCTGAAATTATCTCAAATTACCTTCCCCTCCTCTACTTACAGTCTCAAGTTCTGAACTAAAAGATTCATAGAGAACCAAAAATAGAATAACATGCAATTTTTGGCCAGGAGGGGATAAAAAATCCTCTAGGGAGTGTGAGTTGATTGGAATTTCAGCCAGTGTTAAATACAGTCCTTTAATGGAGAGCCACGCAATTGGAAGAATGAATAATAAAATCTGATTTCCGGGGAGGAAAGAACCTAGGATACTTCAGAGAACAGTACAATATTTGGATGAAAAACTGAAAGAGAAGCAGAAGTCCCCCAGGAGGAGAGAGGAGGGGAGAGCATGGGGAGGAAAGAAGTTAATAAGCAAAAGCAGGTGGTGTGATCGTTGAGGTTTTCAGAGAAAAGAAAATTCCATATATGTAGCTCATTAAATTCCAGGAGAAAAATAGTGGGAGATGCAGTAATAAATGAGAATTGGAATTAGATCATGGCAGGCCCTGAATAATGAAATGAAACTTCTTGACATGGACCTTAAATTCTACTTCTTTCTATACTCTTACCTATCTCAGTCAGTAGTGATTAGTTGAGCCCAGTTATCCAGTCCTGGGATCTTGAGGTGTCTTCAACTGCTGAATACCCCCATCAGTTGACAAATCCAGACCATTCTACTTTGCTCCGTGCCCACACAACACTGCACTTTATACTCCTCACACATTAAAGTGATTTGCTTTTGGTACTTATTTCATTCTATTGTTAGTTGCTGTTAGGACTGTTACTTCTAATAGAGAAGGGACAGTATCTTTTATACTTCTGTCTTCTCCCACTACCTTACACACACACACACAGTTTTTATTTAAATTCCAGTTAGTGAACATACAGTGTAATACGAGTTTCAGGTGTACAATAGAGTGATTCAACACTTCCATACATCACCCAGTGCTCATGATGACAAGTGTACTCCTTAATCCCCATCAGCTATTTCATCCATCCCCTACCCAACTCCCTTCTGGTAACCATCAGTTTGTTCTCTATAGTTAAGAGTCTCTTTCCTGGTTTGCCTCTTTCTCTCTCTCTTTTATATATACATGTATATATATATTTTTTTCTTTCTTTTTTTCTTTTTGTTCCCAAAGCTTGTTGTTGGGAACATGACCAGGAGTCTGGAGTTTACTTACTAGGCAATCAAAAGCCATATAAAGTTAGTGAGGTACAATGAAAATACTTGGACATATATATAACCCTCTGTATTTGGGAGTATTACTGACTGATAAACTTCTAGAAATAGGCTTGATATGCAATGTTTAAAATTTGATAGGATCCCCCAAATTGCCTACATGAGAGATGCAAAATGTATGTTCCCATCAACAGTCTATACACACGTGCATTTCCCCATGTCACTGTTTAACACTTGATATTATACAAACAAACTTTTTGTAGCACTTGCTTTATTTCATTTCTGAATCATTAGTAAGGTAGGATAGGTATCTCTTCACGTGCTTAAATGCTACTTGGATTTTTTTTTCTATGAATTGCCTCCTCTATTCTTTGTCTAGTTTTTCTAATGGAATGCTTTGTCCATTTCTTAGCAATCTCTATCAAGTCTGTTTATTGTGGCCAACAATCCATCCACTGTTATAAATTTTGAAAATAATTTCCTCAAGTCTTCTGTCTGTATTTAGACTTTCCTACTGCTATCTTTTGTTGTTCAGAAGTTTAAATTCTTATATAAGTAAATCTGTCAATTTTTTAAAATATAACTTCCAGATTTTATGTCAAGCTTAGTAAGATACATTACAGAAATACCTTCCTTATTTTTCTTATAGTGTTCTGGTAGTTTAACTTTTGTGTTTAGAACGTGAATCCATTTGGTATTTTTTTTTTTATGTGAGGTAGGTGTCTTAATGGCATATTATTCTTGTAAAAAATGCTGGGTTTGCTAATATTTATTAAATTTTATCGATCTCTATTCATAAATGAACTTGAACTGTAATTTCTACCTTGTAAAATTTTGGAAGGTCATGCACCCAGTTGTTAACAGTTGTTACCTCTGAAAAGTGAAATTGGGAAGCAAGGATATTATTTTGAATACTTCTGTACTTAAAATATTCTTTCAGAGAGCGATATTACATTTCTATTTTAATAAAATAAAAATTTTGATCGCTGTTGAGGAAGGCTGTATTTATCAGTCTAGGTTTTAGGCAAATGACTCTGATAAAAATAAAGGGCTGATGGAGAAGTAAAGGGACAGGAAGGGCTAGAGCCTGAACAAAGGTGGGGAGAGCAGAAAGAAAAGGCTAGTTCAAGAAGGCTGAAGATGGTTGTTAGGGGAATGAAAAGGAGAGGCAAAGACTAAGATCAGAAGAATGCTTCAGTGCTATCAACTGCCATGACTCCTGGCAGAAAACGATGATGTCAGCATTGTCCAATCACTGATGGTTTGGTGTATTTCCTAAGACGTAAAGAGAACCTGAAAATAACCTGAACCCATAGTGTATTCATTTACATCTACAGCATTCAACCTGTTTTCTCTTCTCTCCTGCAAAAATGATCCAACTGCGCTCCCTGCCCTAAAGAAACACCTGTATCATTTGTTACTAAGTTTTTCTCCAATCATGATAATTTACCTCACCTTCCAGTTTTTACCTATAATCAAATGTGTTTCTATGAAAGAACATACTGTCCCTAAGGTTCTTGCTTTTTTTGAGGGGGCAACTGTTCTATTTCCTTAGCGTGATGTAAGTACCCAGAGACTGTGGTCCTCTGGAGGGGACCAAGTTGGGCTGAACATCGGTCCTTGGCTCCAGGAGGAAGCTGTGCCTATCACTGACTCTCACACAGGCTGGGCACAGCATACAGTGCATCTTAGCTGAAGAAGAGCTCCGTCCTGAGACCCCACCTGAGGCCTATTTTGAGAATAGAAACCCCCCTTCCTACTTCTGGAAAACATGGGGGAAAGAGAAAGATCTGGTGGCCAGAAAACTTGTATTTAATCAGTGAAGCCTGATTCACACATTTAACATTTTCCCTTTGGTACCTAGAAAAATAAACCAACCTGCTCTACTTACCTATATCTGATTTTTAAAACCCTGATTTTAAAATTCAGGTATCCCCAATTATAGCAGCATTTAGATCAGTGTTCAACTGGGAGACCCTGGCTGCTGAATTCACAGAGATTAATGGATTCTTCTTTTGAATTATTATTCCTATTGTTTTCATGCTAAAGTTACTTATTACACAAAGATGTATATTCAGCGGCATCAAGAAGAATGAATCTAGCTATTATTTTCTGTCTGTCTAGATATCAACATGTGGTTTTTAGGACAGATGGACTTATTTCTTGGAACTTAACACTGGTTCAAAGGCTGTTATCTTTTCTAGTAAAATATTGTTATTCTTAGGTAAGAATCTCCAAAAGTGAGACCAGAAAATGGTCTTGGGCCCAATAATATTAACTAAAAATTCTGATCACTGAGAAAAAATATGAACTTGTTTCATTATATCACTTAGCTCTTTCAAAGCTGAGCCACAGATTTTCGTAACACTGAGTTCTTTTACAATGAAGCAGCCCAATGAACAGCATCAATAACTTAACATGAAAATCAACTTTTTTTCTCTTTTCTCTTACTTTGTTTAGCTTTCAATTAAAAACATTATTTTTTGCATTTCAATACCAATTTTCAAAAGATATAAGGAAACATAAATGGGAGGCTAGTTGGGTCAGGGAGGGGTTTACTGGTGATTACTGTCTGACAGCTAATCTTCTCAGGCTTTTGTCAGTGGTTCTGAAAGGTATTCAAGCAGAGGTTCCATAGGTTTCTAAAAATCGTGGCAATTCCTCCTAACAACATATAATTTTGTTAAATTTGCATTCAAATAAATGTTTGCTTAAAAAAAATGCACCTGCTTGTTTCTATGACAATAGGCACAGTGAAATGATGCTCATACAGATGTGATGATGACTGTCACCCCGTTACTGCTGTTATTTTTTTCCTTGAACAATTCATCAAATTCTTCTCTGCTCTCTATCACTCAACCATTTGGTATGCCTCAGTAGACAAAACTATGTCAAGGAAGTCTAAAGGATGTTTTGCTAATACTAAGAAACCAAAAGACATTATTCTACTGTTACCCCTGAGACAATGTCTATTGACTTTGCTAATTGGATAATCAGCATTCTTCTATAATTCAGTAGTAAATTATTTTATAGCTAACAAGAATAGGATCATGTGGTTGCCTCCTAATCAATGTACACTTCAAAATACTTACTGTTTTTAGTACAAGTAATTTTTTTAATACTATGTTTTGTCTTTACATATAATAACATATAGTCTAGAAACATCCAAATCATTATAAATATATATCCTGAAATGATACATAATTGAAAAACTCAGGATTTTTTTTTGCTTCTGTGCAGTAACCATTGTTAACTGTCACAGGCATTAAACTTCATAGAAAACATGAAGCCATTATGCATTTTTAAATACTAGACAGTCTAGCTATCACAGAAATTATAATGAAAAATTAAATCACTAATAAATGTATATACTACCTCATATAAAGTGATGACACCATATGTTTGAATTGGTTCTCGCCACTGAAGAAATATCTTCTCTTCGAAAGTACTTCCTTGGATAGATTCAGTAGGAACAGCACCTGGCACTAGAAGGGGAAAAAAAAAAAAATCAAGAAATGTTTGAGAGACCCCGCCCAAATTAGATTTTTCTAGACATGTTAGGTTTTTCACTCTCAACTGAGACATAAGATTTAATAGTCCATAGATAAACTCAGTTTTCTTTTAAAAAATCTGAAATTTAAAACCATTTTCGGCATGGAGCACTGTGTGTTATACAAAAACAATGAATCATGGAACACTACATCAAAATCTAATGATGTTCTGTATGGTGACTAACATAACATAATAAAATAAAATAAAATTATAAAAAAAATAAATAAAAAATAAAACCATTTTGGCTACACTGTCCTTATAAAGAAAATAATCTCATCACTTTTTTCTTTAAAGTTCGAATCAATTAGATGAAGCTCAGTAATCACCTTTTAAATGAACTCTTACGTTCTTCAGAAATAAAGATACAGATAAATAAGAATGCCCACACATTGCTTGTGGGAACAGAAATGGGTACAGCCACTTTGGAAAATAATTTGGTAGTATTTAGTAAAGCTAAAGAGGCATGTATCATATGAGCCAATAATCCTACCTCCAGGTATATTTCCTAGTAATATTCTTGCATGTATGTACCAGGAGACATATAGTAAGATGTCAACATAGCATTTTTTAATAAAAATAATAATTTGGGGACAAACTGAATGGTTTAATAAATTGTTATAGTCACACAATATAACACACAAAAGACTGAGTATAAATGACAGCTATATACATTATCATGGATGAATTTTATGTTTTTATATATTTTACAGTTATAATATTGAGTGACAAAATTATGTGAAAGAAAAATAGATATGAACTCTTGTACTGATATTTATTTTTTTTTATTTTTTTATTTTTTATTTTTTAAAGATTTGATTTATTTATTTGAGAGAGAGAATGAAATAGAGAGAGCATGAGAGGGGGGAGGGTCCGAGGGAGAAGCAGACTCACTGTTGAGCAGGGAGCCC